AGCTGCTCCTTTTCACCCCACGGTGCTCACACATGGGGGAGGGGGGACCTTCGGCTTCTCCAACGCACCTGTCAGCCTCCAGAAGACAGGCAGTGGGGAGCTGTGTCAAGGCACATGGGCTCCTGCTCCCCTCCACTGATGAGAAGTTTATTGCACTGTTCTGGTGGGATTTAACCCACCTCTCCGTTTTCAGATTTTGTGCGACCCTCGGTGCACCGTGTTCTCCATTCTCTCTCCATGGCCTGGATCTGTGGATTTAACTATCCGCAGATGGGGTCATGTGGAAAATTAGATATACTGAAAACTCCAGACTCTGAGGCAGAATGGCTCTGACTGTCAAATGCTAGACAGCACAGGAGGGTTGTTGTCTGCAAGCCGTGTCTATTGGCTTTACAGCACTTGACTGGCCTCTGTTGGGAAACAAAGTTCTGGACTAGATGCATCATTGGTCTGATCCAGAAGAGCAGAGAGATTTGAAGCTGCAGCCTGGTGACTTACCAAATTCATAATGAAGTACAGCTCAATAGAAAGGTACACAATAAAGAAGACACAAGACCAAGGATTTCGGGAATATGATGGCATCATCACATCAGGGAAACTGCACCCAAAAAGAGCCAGAGATTAGTTAGTATCAGTCATGACAGCCAAACATTTTCACTAACTATTTTCACTATTCCCCAAAGAGCACTTTGGTCGGGGTCACAACACCGGCTGGTGACCCCAGGCCCTAAGGAGGCCAAGCTTGTTGCAACAAGGGCCAGGTCCTTTTCAGTGGCAGCTCCTATCTGGTGGAACGAGCTCTCGGAGAATATCAGGGCCCTGCGGGACATTTTGCAGTTCCGCAGGGCCTGTAAGACGGAGCTCTTCCGCCAGGCGTATGAGTAGGAGCCACCACTGCCACTGCCATTACCATCACCGTTCTCCAGAGAGTGTTACCGCCGGAAGACTGTGTGACATCTAAGCGGGGCCCAAGTCTTCCCCTCTGCTATGCAAAATGTGGAGTTTTTCTTTCCTCTCTCTCTTACATCCAGATGGAAGTGAATTCTTAAATTGTTTTTATGCATTTTATATATTGTAATTTATATGCACTTTGTGCTCGTGTAAGCCGCCCTGAGCCCGCTTGCGGGAAGGGCGGGGTATAAATGTAATGAAAATAAATAAATAAATAACTACTTAGGGTAAAAATGTACAACAGGGTTTGCTTTTGGTGCATCAGCAGCTAGGCTATTTTATGTGGAACACTAAAGCAGTTCCTCTCTAATCTAGCCATAACACTGTACCCTCACTTAGACGTAGCTATTTATAGAACAATTTCTTGTTCTTCTGGCAGAATGTATGCCTATGCCCAACCTACTGGCATAGTTCAGATGCAACATCAAACCATCATTTGACAGTTAATAATCCCTGTGGCTCAACATAACATCTGGACCAGGCCATGATGCTCTTGTACACAACCTAAAAGTTCCAAACACAGGAAGAATAACCTCTACAATCTTACCATAACAGATTCTGATAAACCAACAGAGTTTCCATATGTGAGCACTCATGAGTTTGTTTTCATAAGGGAAGTGCTGCCCTTGCAGTAAACTTTGCCCAAACCCTGTGTGGCTCTGAACCTTTCACCCACTATCACCCACCAAGTATGCAAATTCTTACTGAACACCCCCCCAAAACCAAAATCAGGACATAAACACACACTCCAGACAAGGCAACTTCAATTTGTGATTATATATGCATGTGACCCACACATCTCAAGCACACATCTTATGTTGAACCAGCCAATTCCGTAGCTTTAGGTTTGATTCCTATTTGCAGTGTGTCATATTAAGGGCTGGAGAGATAAATCCAGGATCTGGGATTCTACCCATAGGGTGTGCTGCCCAGTCCAATAACAAGGCTCCTCTGATAGCTGTCCGAAACCTTGGCAAGGGAGGAGAAAGGGCTGCCTAAATTCTAAATGCCCCTGTTTGTGTATTGCTCCCTGTGGGACTTTATGGCTCCAGTTACAAATCACGCCCAAAGTACACTACACGGTCAGGAGTTCTCTCTCTGCGAGACTGTGCTTCCCTTCCCTGCTTCAGCTTTCCTTTTCTTTTTTTGTCCCAATAACTAAGGGTTCTCAATATTCTGTGGCTCCCGGAAGACAATGAGTGTGACTCAGTGCTTGCCTGGTCATTTGGGGGCTTGTTTCTTTCTTCCTTCTTTAAAATTCCTAATACTCACCTGTATACCTGGGGAATCCTCCAAGTGTACATGAAACCCCACCTGGTCAGTTTGGGGCCTTAGTTTACTGCCACACTGATGGGCCCTCATGTTTGCTATTAAGAATGATTCTCCCTCCCTTCCTTCAGCGACCTATTCCTTTCTGATTCAAATACTGACCACCCTTCAGGCTGTTTAACAATTTCAAAGTTGGACCAGTTTCTTTGCCCAAGAACTCTACCTCACAGACAAGTAGTGTCTGTGTATGCGTGCGTGCGCACGTGCGTGCCTGCCTAGAAGTCATGTTTTATTTCTGGCGACCCCAAGTGGGGCTTGTACGTTTCAGAGAGGTGGCTTGCTATTGCCTGCCTCTGTGTCCCAACCCTGGTATTCCTTGGAGGTCTCCTTTCCAAGTACTTGCCAGGATCAGCCCCACTTAGCTTCTGAGATCTGATGAGATCGGGCTTGCCTGGGCTATCCAGGTCAGGGCTAAACACTCTGGCTTTCTCCAGCCAGCTGAGAACTCTGTTAAAGCATGCCAAACCTCAGTCCACCATATTATGATTTTTTTTACATTTATATCCTGGTTCTCTCCCAGCAGGCAACAGATGACTTACATAATTCAGGCTGCAATCCTGCATTTACTTATTGGCAAATCAAGCTTAATCCAATGGGATTTGCTTTTGAGTAAACAGGCTGAGGACTGGACAGTTTAAAAGATTCACTTTTAGTGACACACACACCCCAGTTCATCTTGGAAACTTCTCTTAAGCGAAAGAGCTTACTTTGCAGTAGTCAGAAGAACAAAGAGATTCACAAGACTGTTCTCCAAGGTGTTGAAATACTGCAAGGCAAAAGCAACTGTTAGGCAACAAAGCCGTCACACAGTGTGAACTACGGCAACACAACATCACATCAGCAGCTTTCTTTGCAGCTAACTGCTTGCTAGTCTTATAATCGAGAATTCTAAAGGCACTGCATTTGCATTCATTCCCACCCACTGGGTTTGGCTTCTGCATCAAGCTGCAGGGAAATTCCCTTCAGAAGTGCAGAATCAGCAGCCAGGGCCACTGTGTCCTTCCCCTAATCAGAAGTGCCTCCAGCAGTGAAAACTGCTGCTGCTACTACTTCCACCCAACAACAGAAGGGCTGCCAGAGAGGCCGATTCTCTCTCTGTGTGTGCCTTGTTTGGGTGGGGACCAAGAGTCATAGGAAGATGCTACTTTAAAGTTATCCACATTATGCTTTTCAAAGGGGCCTAGATATTCAAGAATTTAGCGTTTACTTACAGGGTCCGATTTGTTAGGAGAGAACAAATAAAAACCTAGAAAGATAGGATTGGGAAGAGAAGGAAGAGGAAACAAATTTTGAGTAACAAAATGATTTAAACGTCTCCTTTCCAGAAAAGGAACCACTCAGTTTAATTCTGCACAATGTTAAGCAGAAGTAATGCGGAACAGTAGCTGTACTGTCTTTTCCGCATTGGATCTGGCGGGCCAACAGGCCATGCAATTTTGGGCTACACAGACCGGACACATCCCATCTTCACCCCCCACCCAGTTCAAACCTGTTCTAATTCTGGCAAATGCCCAGCACTCTTTGTGCAGAGGCTGTTCAGAAGTGCACACCTTTCTCCAAGGATAATACCACCACCACCACCCAAAAATAACCCAATTCCATTCTACTTGGAGTCAGATTTTTTTCAGCCAGCCTTCTGCACACAGGAATACACTTCCTGCAAAGAGTATCAAATGAAGATATGAGTAGCAAGGCTTACCCAGATATCTTTCCCCCCCTGCTCTGCTTTTTTACAGAACTCATAGAAACAGTGGAAAGAGCCATCCTGGAAATGTGGAGGAAGAAGAAGAGTTGGTTTTATACCCTGCCCTTCACTACCCAAAGGAGTCTCAGAGCTGCTTACAATCTCCTTCCCTTCCTCTACCCACAGTAGACACCCTGTGAGCAGTGTTCCCTCTAAGCTGAGTTAGTGTGAGCTAGCTCAGTTTTTTTAGCCTCCAGCTCACACATTTTTGTCTTAGCTCAGGAAAGATGGCTCTAGAGCAAACTAATTTTATGCAGCAGCCAAACGACCTGCTCACAACTTTAATGCCAGTAGCTCACAAAGTAGAATTTCTGCTCACGAATCAAACCCGGTTCTCCGGATTAGAGTTCTGCTGCTCTTAACCACTACACCAAACTGGCAGAAGCATATACTTTCAAAAATAATGCTTATCTTTTATATAATTTCCTTTGAGCAACCAAAACAAAAGCATTTTGCACACATCATCATCTCAGTCACACCATTTAACTTAAGTGTAATTTAGAGCGATGTCTGTACTTCCGGTCCACCCAGGCTGTGCCACACACAATGATAGCTGGCCTGAGGAAAGTTTATGGTTGTTGCACAATAGTAGATAAAAAGTGTTCAGACAGGAACCTCCAGTTACATACCAAGAATTGCAAAAATGACCATGAAGAAAAGTAAGAGAAGGAGAATGTCAATGAACGGAGGGAGAGATTGGAAGATCTGCCGCAGGTTTCTGGGGGGAAAAACATTTAATATAGTGTTAGTTATCTGAAGGGACACTTTCTTCCTTACAGTCATATGAAGCTGCTTATCAGCAAGTCAGACCACTGGTGCATCTAGACAAATATTGCCAGCTATGACTGGAAGCAGCTCTGCAAGGTCTCAAGTAAAGCATTTTCTCAACACTTGCTAGCTGGGATCCTTTTGAACTCAAGACACAAGGTACCTAACCTGGGACCTTTTGCATTCCAAGAAGGGCTTGGATCCACACTAGAAGTTTCTGTGCACGTAAAGATTTCTGCCCATAAAGCATGATTTTCCTGCCTCCCTTCTATCGCTGAAGCTCAACATACACCCCCTAAATCCTGTTCTGGGGGAGGGGAGACTTCCAGGGACAGAATTTTCTTGGGCATTTTAGCCTGCTGTCGAAAAGGGGAAGGAAGAAACTCGTGTTCTGTGGGTGAAAATCCTTACACCAATGGAAACGTTAGCCTGGATCCAACTCAATGTGCTTTATCACTGAACCCCAGTTCCTTTTCTAGAAAACACCAGTGGTTTCATATGAACATATGAAAACTACTGGTGTTTTCTAGGACCAGTTTTTCAAATGAACATATGAAGCTACCCTAACCAAATCACATCATTAATTTATTTAGTGCTATCATATGTCACATGCAAGCTAAAACAGGCAACTAACAATAAAAATGAAAAACATACAACAAATAAAAATAAAAATAATTTTTAAATTTTAGCAGTAAAATGTCAGGTACATTAAAACAGATGCCGTCCTGCAGTCAATCAGTTTAGCTCAAATACCTTCTAGAACAGGAATGTCTTCCTCTAGCCAGTCTAACCCAATATTCTCTGCTCTTATGGGTAGCTGGTCTCTTTCTCTATGATTTTCCTAAGACCTGCCACCAGACTTCTTTTAGATTAAATTTGGGGCCTTATGCATGCAAACCACATGTACTACGACTGAGCAGTGGCCCCTCCCATGTACCCTTAAGATCACCCAGATCCCCTTTTACATTAAATTTGGGGCCCTATGCATGCAAACCACATGTCCTACCACTGAGCAATGGCCCTTCCCATGTACACTTAAGATCACCTAGAAGAAGAAGAGTTGGTTTTTATACCCTGCTTTTCTTTACCTTAAGGAGTCTCAAAGTGGCTTACAATCACCTTCCCTTCCTCTCCCCACAACAATCACTTGTGAGTAGGTGGGCCTGAGAGAGTTCCGCAGTAACTGTGACTGTGACCCAGCAGGCTTCATGTGGAGGAGTAGGGAATCAAACCCAGTTCTCCAAATTAAAGTCCACTGCTCTTAACCACTACATCATGCTGGCTAATGAGGCTCTAGCAAGGTGGCTATCATCATTTGAAGTCCATTGTGTGATAACAAGAACTACAGCCACCTCCTTGTCTTGGAAAGCGCATTGGAACTCCTTTAGGAGGCTAATGAAGTGGTCAACACTGTTTATCTGAGTGGCTGGGAACGTGGTGAGCCACACATACACAAAATGGGTTTGTGAAAAGTCCTTTGTTCCCCCCCTTCCTATTATTCCAAAAGCTCACATTGCCCATGTGTTTGTCTTACAAACCTTCTCTCAACACAGTCTTCCCTGCCATCAGATGCCAAATGCATCCAGTTCAAGTCTCTCACATTAATATCAATTTTTAGCGCACTCTCAGTGCTGCAGTGTATTATACTAAATGTTAATGGAGACTTGAGAGGCACAGGAGTATGGGAACTCACGGCTGCACAGGATTCTGTGCTGAATATCAGACTGTTGCATTACCATGTACTCCTGACATGACCATGACACAAAATGCACAAATGGCGGTTGATAGGAAACCAGAATTTAAGAATTTAACGCTTGGAGTCACTGGGCCTGAACACACACACCACTGTGGGTGTGCTTCAAGTACATGTGGTATTGTACACTGGATAATCTATGGGTCAAACAGTTGCTACCTGTTTCATTACCTACAAAGAAATGTTCGTGCACTTCAAAAAGCTGACATGCGTGACTTTGTTGTGTATACCTGCCTGTAAGAAATGGCCAATATTTGCTTCATCACTGTTCTCTGAAATGAAGTTAGGTTAAACTGACCAGGTTTATTCATAGCATCTAAAATCTCTACCTTAACGCTTATATGCATATTTGTTCTTTCATTAGGAATAAACCAGTACCAAGTACCCAACTGCCAGAATGTCCACTCCTTTGCCTTTTCATCATGCTCTAAACACATAAAACTTCTGAAATCAGGCTAGTCCGCTTCCCAAATTAAAGACATAGTCAATATTAAGGGGAATAGGTTTACTTTCTACTGCTTTTGTGAAAAGGGAACTGAGACAGAGCACTGGCAGTTGTGCTGCAGCTACAGCATAGTGCCCAAAGGCCAGGCAGCCGAGTACCTTCGGACAGCTCCGCAGTAACGACAGTCCACTAGGAAGATACAACGCAAGGCTCTCGTGATCCGGACGTGTGACGTCTGGCGCACCAACACCACTATCGCCTCGATGAACTGCAGCAACAGCACACAGGTCTGCCAAGAACAGAAGCCACAGAAGAGGACAATTGGCACTTCCAAAGCACACCCTCATCAGACCGGCAACACGAGAGCTCTACAAAAATTGTGCCTTGGTTTTAAAATGGGGGGGGGGGCAGTGTGTGAAGCAGGCTACCTTGTAAGAAAAATAAGGTTACCTAAAGAATTTAACAATCATAATGGGATTGGAAGGCACATGCAGAGGAAAGCCCAGGAATTGGTAGACATTTGCAAACCTGTAGAAGCCAATGGTGAAAGTGTGGAAAGAGGAAGACTGTGCAGAATTTCCAGAGGTCAGGGCTTCAGTGCTTTCCATAGTACTTTGCCCCTTCTTATGAGAAGCAGAATAAATTGCACAGATACAACATATACAAATATGTAAATTTAAATTGCACAATTCCTATAGGTCACGGAATTCTCCTTTTCTCGATGGAAAATTTTAATTTTTCAGAATAGACTACACAAAGCCCAAGGTGCAACTAGTGCAACAGGACCTCAAAAGAACATACATACACTCCAGGATTATCAAGACAAGAAACAGCCATTCTAGAAAGATGAGCCAAATTAACTGTCTTGAGTCTATGATGCAAAAACAGAGATGGTGATCACACTCTTTGAAAGGGGATTAGACAAATTTATGGGATGATATAGAGCTATTAGCCATGATAGCTAAATGGAACCTCCATATACAGAGGCAGTATACCTCTGCGTACCAACAACTGAGAGGCAAAACAGAGGGCAGGAGGATTCCTTTCTACCTGCAAGTTTCTTGGAAGTATCTAGGGGCCCAGTGACGAAAACAGAATGCTAAACTAGATGAATCTTTGAGCTAAATGAGAGGGGCTTTTTTTATGTTCTCTGCAAACATAATCGCTTAGAAATGACAGTCTGCCTTTGGATGAAAAGCCTTCCTGGCACTCTGCTTTCAAATAATACTCTCAACAACTTACCGTCATAACAGACATACTAAACCATTTGTAAATTTATACCTGTGCGTCTGTGGCTTGAAAACAGCAAAGATTATTGTCCATTATGCATTTTACGCCTCCCCCCCAAAAAAAAAGATTCGTTTCAGGGCTTTTATAATAGGCATACTATAAAAGTTCAGCTTTAAGAAAGATTTTGCTACCTTCTTTGGGAGTTAAAGAAGAGAAGGGGGGGGGAGATTGTGCAATGGGAAAAAGAGTTTTTATTATGTGTCACTTGGACCCCTATGTTTCTCATGCTGTTTCGTTAGATCAGTAAGGCAACTGTCTTTCAGAATGTTCTCACTATAATAAACTGTAGCATTTTTTGTCTTCTTTGAGACTTAGACAAAAATGCTATTTTAATACCACATTACTCATAGTAGCTACCCAGAAAATAAGGCAAAAACATATTTTGCTATACACCGCTAACATTCTATAGAAGCAGTGGCCAGATTCTGAGATTATCTAAATTTATAGAATATATTTAATATAGACTGGAGAATCATAACTTTAATACATGCAGCCACTTTTTGTATACTTTCGTATGGCACAGAGCACTCAATCCAATGAACTCTCTTCACATTTTTTAGGACGTGCAGCTTAAAAACTAAACAAATAACTAAAATGCTTGTTAGATCAACAAGTATGGCTCTGATGGAAAGAATTAAAGCAGTGCCTAGTAGAAGTTTTAAAATATAAAGTGTACAGAACAGTTGTGCACACACAGAAGTAGTGAATTAGTAACGACAGCATAAACACTAAGATCAATAGGAATGATCAAATTATAAATGATGATGAAGAAGAAGAGATTGGATTTATACCCCGCCCTTCACTACCCAAAGGTGTCTCAGAGCGGCTTACAAACTCCTTTCCCTTCCCCTCCCCACAACAGACACCCTGTGAGGTAGTTGGGGCCGAGAGAGCTCTGATAGAAACTGCTCTTTTTTCAAGAACAGCTCTTATCAGAGTTATGGCTTGCCAGGTGCAAGTGGAGGAGTGGGGATTCAAACCCGGTTCTCCCAGATTAGAGTCCACGCACTTAACCACTACACCAAACTGGCTCTAAATGATGACAGCAAGGAAGTAACAAGGAATAAAATCACTTGAAAATAAGTACCTAAAAAGCAAAATTGTAGTGCAGGGGTCTTCAACGTGGTGCCTGTGGGTACCATGCTGCCCAGCAACACTTTTTCTGGTGTCCAATAAACGTTTTCAGAAAGTGGGTGGGGCCAGGGGCACTTTTGCCCAGCAAGGCTTCAGCTGTAAATGCCGCCACAGCACAAGGATCTTCACTGTATGACTGATGGTAAGCTGCGGCAGGGTCCCCCTCCTGTGGCAGCCATTTTGTGGCAGGCATTTCATGGTTGTGCCCAGGGCCTTATTTGTAGAAAAAGCCCAGCAGGAACTCATGAGCATAACAGGTCACACCCAACAGCTGAAACTCATTAGCATATTAGGCCACACCCTGCCACCACAGCTCATTAGCATATTAGGCTGCAGCCCCATGTTGCTAAAAGTGTGGTCATCCAGCCACACCCACCTTTTGCTTCTTATTCTGTTTACCTTGTTTGTTGTCAAAACCCAGGGCCTTTTTTTGTAGCAGGGACTCCTTTGCATGTTAGGCCACAGACACGCCTACTGTAGCCAATCCTAATGAGTTTCTGCTGTTGGGTGTGGCCGATTATGCTAATGAGTTCCTGCTGGGTGTGGCCAACTCAGGAGCCAGCCGGAACTCCGTTCCTGTGCGTTCCTGCCCAAAAATAGCCCTGGTTGTGCCCATTACACTGTGTCAGAATTCCCACAGGCTCAAAAAGATTGGGGACTAGTGTTCCCTCTAAGCTGAGTTAGTGTGAGGTAGCTCCCAGTTTTCTAGCCTCCGGCTCACACATTTTTGCCTTAGCTCAGGAAGGACAGCTCCAAAGCAAACTAATTTATGCAGTAGCCAAATCACTCGCTCACAACTTTGATGCCGGTAGCTCACAAAGTAGCATTTTTGCTCACAAGACTCTGCAGCTTAGAAGGAGCATTGTTGGGGACCCCTGTTGTAGGAGCTTGATAAAGGTAGTTTGACAGGAGTCAAACACAGCCTGCTGTTCTACAGAATAACCCATCGATGCACAAAGGGTTGGGAAGAGTTGCCCAAGCCACTTTTTAAAGTCAAGAAGGAAACAAAAAGGTCTCTCAGAACATCTCACCAGCCCATCCACACCCTATCAAAATTGTCATGGCTCAGACAGCACAGATAAGAGTCCATTCTGGTTCCTGCAAAAGGCCGGATCAAGTAGGCAAGAGGGTTACCAGCGGTTCACCTTGACCATGGTCCTTTTGTGCCGAATATAGGTGTGGAAGCCCAACCATCTCATTTTCATAGACAGCTCAAACACTACTATTGCCAAGGCAAGCAGCTCCAGGGTAGCATGAATCTGGAATTGGACAAGCAAGAGGGTTGAACACTCATCGTTTCACCAGCTCAAGTCACAAAAACATTAAAGTATAGACAATGGTCCAGCGATCTAAGTGGGAGGGGGAGACATGACTACAGTAGTGAAACAGCAAACTATCATTTCCAAATTAAGCCTTTAAGTGATGTTTTTAAAACTCGAACAGGAGTGCAGCTGGATTAAGAATATTCTGCAACCTCCCAGCCAGAGCAGCTATACTAAATGCCTTTTAAAAAATTTTCTCATGTCACAGACATAGGGTAGCTGAAAGGGGTAGAACAGCTAGATTTGAGTCCAGTAGCGCCTTAGAGACCAACAAGATTTTGGGGGGTATGAAGGGAGCTTTGACTTTTGAAAGCTAACACCCTAAAAATCTTGTTAGTCTCTAAGGTGCTACTGGACTTAGAACTCATAGCTGATAGCATGTCTTGGCATTGGGAGGAAGCCAAGATGTCTGAATGGTTCTGGCCTTGTGGAAAATAACAGAGTCTAAACTCCTGTGTGTTTTGCGATTCCTCCCTGGGACAAAGTGATTTGTTGTTACTTCTTCCTTGAAAAAGAGAGGAAAGTTGTATTCGGAACTCAGAGGGACTTTAGCTGTTTACATAGTTTTGAACCCGCCATTCCTTGTTTTTTTAATTTAAAAAAGTACTACAAATTGGCATGATGCTTGAAAACCCAATTATTTTACCCACTGATAAGATGTTCACAATGGGCATCTCTTCTTTTAGTGGATCGTCAACTTTCAGCCTGTTCAGGTAACTGGACACAGGGCTTGCCTGAGTGTCTTCTGTTCTAACTCTTTTTGCCCCACTAAAAGGGCAAGCCTGTGACACTGGTCCTCAGTTATTTTAGAAAATATTCTTCTTAGCTCCATTAGTCTACCCATTCCATTACATAGTCACGCCTTCCATCCTTTTGCTTGTGTCCCCCTTGGCCTGGAGATCCCTCCTTCATTCTTTCCCCAAGGTACGTACATAGATGCCAAGTCGAAGCATGGGCACTGCGGGTGCCTCACAGAGGGACAGCAGCAGGAGCAGCAGGGCCGTAGTCAGCTCCATTAGGTAAAAGAGATGATTGTGGACAAAGAGGTAGGCCGCAAGTGCTTTGGCATCCTTGGGGTGCGTGAAGAATTTGTCATTGTTTTCTCCTTCCTAACATAAAAGAAGAAGAGATTGGATTTATATCCTACCCTTCACTACCTAAAGGAGTCTCAGAGCGGCTTACAATCTCCTTTCCCTTCCCCTCCCCACAACAGGCACCCTGTGAGGTAGGTGGGCCTGAGAGAGATCTTTCGAGAACTGCCCTTGAGAGAACAGCTCCGAGAGAACAGCTCCAAGAGAACTTGTGACTGATCCAAGGTCACACCAGCAGCTGCATGTGGAGGAGTAGGGAATCAAACCCAGTTCTCCCAGATTAGAGTCCGTGCTCTTCACCACCACACTAAATTGGCTCTCAGCAAAGAAATCCAAAACAAAGAAATCCAAAACACAAAGTCATGTGAATGACAGGCAGCACCATGTAACTTCCTTTATTCCTCCTATTGAAAAGTAATGACTTTTTGTTTCACAAGCCAGCAACAGAATCCTGAGGGGACAGACCGAGCTCCTCGGCTCCTGCCCTCCTCTGTGCCTGAGGCACTGAAAATGTTGTGTTTTTTTTTGGGGGGGGGGAAGGACTATGACTCACTTGATCCATATTGTGTGAGATTTTTAGCACTCTTTATTGATCAGCAAGCCTTTTATTTTAAGCTGTTTTGGGGCCTCCTTGCTTGCGGGAGATAGACAAAGAAAAAGCATTTTAAAAATAAATCAATAAAATAAATTGAGGCTAGGAGATGGTCAATGCCATCTTAAGCCAAATTTTTTGTTGTTGTTGTTCAGTCGCACAGTCGAGTCCGACTCTTCGCGACCCCATGGACCAGATCACGCCAGGCCTTCCGGTCTTCCGCCGTCCTCTGAAGTTGGCTCAATTTCATGTTTGTTGCATCTATGACACTGTCTAACCATCTCCTCCTTTGCCGTCCCCGTCTTCTTTGACCTTCAATCTTTCCCAGCATCAGGGTATTCTCCAGTGAGTGCTCCCTTCTCATTTGGTGGCCAAAGTATTTGAGCTTCAGTTTCATTACCTGGCCTTCCAGGGAACAGTCAGGGTTGATTTCTTTTAGGATTGACTGATTTGATCTTCTTGCAGTCCAAGGGACTCTCAAGCCAAATTACACTGTCCTAAATTCACTCGCTTTAACAAGACTCTGCTCAGGATGGCGCCAAATGTCTCACTCTAAAATACTATCATACAAAAGTACAGAAGAGAACAGAGAATGGGTCAGATCCGTTGGAAGTGGAGAACTGTACACTGTCTCCTGCCTCAGACTTCAGAGACAGCAGCATAAATTTAGAGATAGAGAGCACAGAGACACACAGAGCATCCTTTCCTTCTTGCTATCTGATACTATCCCTTTGAAGTAGAATGCTATTCTTAGGGACAAGACTTCCTTCTGGCTTAACACCTCTCTCTCCCACACACCACAAGAAGGAGCTTGCTCTCCATCTTTGGCACCATGTATGCAGGACATTCATTCTGCATCTGCATCCATCCTAGGTAGTTAGATTAAATTCTATCCCTGTCTCTCACCTATACGATCTAGAATGATGTTCCCTGAATAAAGGACTTTTATCAGTTTTGAAATTGACAAGTGGCTCCCTGTAACTTTGTTTCTTTGCTAGCACACACAGTATGGAGAAGCTGCTGCTGCCTGTAAGCCTAGCACGCTCTGCCACTTAATAGAGATTCCTAGCTGTACCATACCAGTGAAACTAACAAGACCCTTTCACCATCATTAGAGAGATGATATTTGGTAAGCCACATTTGTTTTGTAAGCTGCCTCAAGCAGGTTCTCTGGAGAATTGCCACAGAAGTTTTCTAAAGAAATAAAACTGAACCTGCAACCAGCGTTATTTGGAACTTTAAATGGGTATATTAAGCTTACAGTTATATTTTAAAAATAATGTCGAAGGATATATGACAGACACAACATGAACCATTCAGGTGGGTAGCCGTGTTGGCCTGAAGCAGCAGAACAAAGCTTGAGCCCAGTGGCACCTTTAAGACCAACAAAGTTTTATTCAAGGTATAAGCTTTCATGTGCATGCAGACTTCTTCAGATACATTGAAACGGAAGTTACCAGACCAGGGTGAGCAGCAAATTAGCATAAGCATAATAAATGGTGTTTAACAGATGCTGCGGTGGCTCAAGTGGTTAAGATGCTGAACTGCAGGCTGTGGAAGGTCGGTAGTTCAGCAGTTCGAGACCTGAGTGTGCCGCATGACGGGGTGAGCTCCCGTCTCTAGTTCCAGCTCCTGCCAACCTAGCAGTTCGAAAGCAAGAAATTGCAAGTAGATAAATAGGTACCACTTTGGTGGGAAGGTAACAGCGTTCCGTGCGTCTTGGTGTTTAGTCATGCCGGCCACATGACCACGGAAACGTCTTCGGACAGCGCTGGCTCTTCGGCTTTGAAACGGAGATGAGCACCGCAACCCTAGAGTCGGATTCGACTGGCTTTCGAGCAAGGGAACCTTTACCTTTTTAACAGATGCAAGGACCAAAGTGGAATAACAAGTTTGGTTTATATGATCACCATTGGGGGGGGGGGGGTTTAATTCCAGGGGAAAACATAGTGAAGGAACTAAATATATCAAAATCAGAGATAGATGGGCAGATCTATCTTTGCTAGAATACAGAGAAAATATATCCCTTTCTAAAGGTAGCCTATAATTTAAACGTTTGTAGGACATCATCTCCTAGCTACCGATACAATTTTACATCACTTTCTTTCCATGACAGTGTGCTTCTATCTATACCGTAAATGAGAGAGCTGACCTGGAGGTAGATTGCTGCCTCTTGGTAGTTCATTTCCCAGTTGTCTCTCACATGTCTCCGTTGAGGGTAGCAGACCCCAGCAGCTGGACTGGGGACATCATTGATGAAGTCATAGCTGCCTCCATCTGTGTGAAAGGGAAAGAAACGACACATCATAGGAGCCTCCAATTCTGTGTCAGAGAAGAAGCCACTGCTGTCCTCTTGGCAATCCGTGGCTTGAGCATCCGAGCAGGCACACTATGCACGCTGATGTCTTAAAATGGCCACACCGCTCTGATGCTGAGCACTGTCTTCGCTCTCTTCGTTTCCTGAGCCGGGAAGCGAAAGAGGAAAGGAGAGTCAGGAACAGGAGACCAAGAGTGGAGTAGGCATGGTAGAAAGGAGAGTTAAAGATGTAAGGAAATGAAAGAATAGTTAAGAGAACTGAAATGGAAGGAGGACTAGCTGCTCTCCCACGTGAGGCAGGAAAAGAACTGAAGGGTGGGTGACCCCCCCAGCAGAAACAGGAAGGGAAATTCCTGCTTCCCTGAGTGGATGGTGGGAACCGCCAAAATGTCCTTCACCCCACAGGGAGCAATAAATGTGTGGCTATACCGCAGCCACCAACTCATATCAAGGGCTTTTTGCAGACTATGTTCGCAGCTTCCTCGTGCAGTATCGGGATAATGCTGATCCTCTTTTCAAGCACATTGTAGTGACCACCGAGATAATGCGCATGAAACAAATACTCTAAAGTGCAATCTATGCCAATAATATCTATACCGTCGAAAGAGCGGGTTTAAATGAATCGCTGATCGCAAACCAACAAAGAAAATTGTGAGAATCTAGAGAACAGGCTTTCATATCACTTCCAGTACTAAGAGTGCTTTATGAACCACATTAGCCAGTGTGGCACAGTGCTGAATTAGGACTAAGGAGATCTGGGTTCAAATGCCCACATGGCCATAAACCTCATGATGTGATCTTGGGCCTGTCACTCTTAAATGTCAATATTTGTTTCGCATGCAAAAGGGACCGGTCTCTTCCCTTTTCCTTGCGCACAAATGAAAGTCCGTTTCTATTTTTGGGAAAGCCACAGTTTTAAGGAAGCCAGAGCATTAGCAGTCTCTGACCAACATAAAGCTAAAGCCTTCCCAAGAGCACTTGTGTAGTAATGTGGGGAGGAGCTACAAGCTGGCTGATCCGTTGCACAGATGGCAGCACTGCCTTCACACCAGCGCGGCTTATCCCAAGAGTTCCATCCAAGCCAGCTGTCCTGCTTACACAAGGCCTCTGGAATGACAGTTCAGGGAAGCAAGCTTTTCCATTCACTGGGAGCACTGGAAGCTGTTCTGGCAAGCCTCTAAACAGAAACAGATTTCATATGCCTTCATAAAAAGGAGGAGGAGATAGCAAATGTTTACTAACTTATGATATTCAGCTGGCTGACGGGCTTCGGAATTCAAGGAAACGTTATGCACACTATTCCCTCTGTTTAGACTCCGAGCCACGCAATGAAAACCCGTCCATCTGGCAGAGCCCAAGACACAACAGAGAACAAGAATGATCAGTGGAGGAAAAACACAAATTACCAAGGCAAGGGATGGATGCAGGATGAACTCCCGTGCAAAAGCCTCTGCCCTTCTGGAGAGGCATTTATGTAGGATTTCTAACTGCCTCTTTGCATTCTACAGAGCCTTTACGTTTTATTAATAGATCAAAATCATTTATTTATTTATTTGCAAAAGATTGAATAAAGCAAAATTAGCAGCAGGAGACTAAAGGGTTTTTTTTTACACCAGCCATATTTCCATGACAATCCCTCCAGGGACAAACAGTTAGAAAAACAAATCTGGGGATAGGAAAGGATATACAAATGAAGTCAGCTCGCTGACGTCACTTAGTTCTAACCAGATGCCGTGATTAAAGCAGCCAAGGTAAACATGAATTTTTCAAACCTATGTAAAAACAGTTGCCAGGAAAGAAAGTTTTAATGCCTGCCTCCCGGATGCTGCCATATGGAATGTATTAGACAGCTACAATATCTCCCCACCCAGTATAAAGAGGTCAAGCTTGGGTGTGTCTCTCAAAGCGATCACGCAATGGGCTTGCAGTCCCGATCTAGGAAAAGCTTTTCTGAACAAAGAGCTAAGAAAAGCACCAGAGTGACACACAGCCCCTGCTTCCTGTTCCCATTTGAAAACTGCCATACTGGGTGGCAGGTCCCTGTCTTGCATCTCTATGGGGTGAGGCCGACATCAGTCACTGCACCAAAGAACTGCCTACATTAATCTAGAAGAGAAGAAAAGATTGGATTTATACCCCGCCCTTCACTACCCAAAGGAGTCTCAGAGCAGCTTACAAATTCCTTTCCCTTCCCCTCCCCACAACAGACACCCTGTGAGGTAGGTGGGGCTGAGAGAGCTCTGATAGAAACTCCTCTTTTTCAAGGACAGCTCTTATCAGAACTATGGCTTGCCCAAGGTCATCCAGCTAGGTGCAAGTGGAGGAGTGGGGAATCAAACTCGGTTCTCCCAGATTAGAGTCCGTGCTCTTCACCACCACACTAAATTGGCTCTCACACCAAACTGGCTCTAGGAACTGAGGTGACGGACTGCACCAGGGACTGGGGGACCCCTTGATTCAGACCCACACACCCCCATCACTTATGATCCTACGAAGTGCTCTTAGGGCTTCCAGTAGTGATAAGTCTGCTTCTAAGAAGCCAACCCTGCATTTGTGCACACCAAGCAAGCCTGCTATGAGTTCCAAATAGGGTTGCCTGGTCCCCCCTGGCCACCGGCAGGGGGCTGTACGATTGCCATCTCCAGGTTGAGAAACTCTTCGAGATTTGGGGGTGAAGCCTGGGGACGACAGGTTGGGGGGCACAGTGCCAGAGAATCCACCCTCCAAAGCATCGGTTTGGAGGCTAAATACAAGGGGGGAAAGTGAACAAATTACAAGAAATAGATTATAAATATTTGACACTTATTAAAGATACTAATATCCATGTACTCTATTCATACAACAGTTCCAAAGTCTAATGCATATATGTTCAGTCCATAATCATTTCCATTCTCATCCAACATATTTAAAGGAATAAAGTGCCTGTGTTGAAAAACGTTGTGAATTCGTTGTTTTCAAAATATAGCCGCTAAGTCTTTCCAAACAGTTTGTTGTTTTCAGAGCACAGCAGATAAATCTTTCTAACAATACAATTTCAAAGTGCGTGCATGGAGACTGTAGAAAGGACACTGCTGCGTTCCACCTCTGACGGAGCCTGACGGCCTTTACACATCCGTTTCCAAAAAGCTTTTTCAAAGAGGGGATAGGACGTTGTCCATACATGCAATACTGCCACTCCAATAAGACTATCCCAAATTCTCACCAGCACAATTTACAGGAGAATAACATCCCTAGTTCCAACCACTAGACTGCAGCACTCTCTCTTCAACACACCAAATAAGGAACCATCCGCAGAATAAGAATTCAGGGTTTCTCTAGAAACTTCGGCCCTTTAAAACACACTCTAAGGATGTAGTTGCATGGGGGTGGGGTGGGGGGTAGAGATGAGATTGTCTCCTGAATGCTAATCCATGGGGAGGGCCCAGAATATTGACATCCAAGGTCCAAGCTGCATCTGACAACAACAGACCCATCTTTAAAAGGCTATACAGACACACAGTGTATGAGAGCCACACCCATTACTTTTTTCCCCTACAGCCCCTCTCCCTGCCAGTTTCCCCCCAGCTGGGCTCACTACCAATATCCAGACAAAACTGGGAGAGAAAATACCTGGAGGGACACACCACTGGGGTAAGCGTAAGGTGGAAGGGAAGGATCAGCACATTTAGTGCTGTTTGCCACAGTAGCAATTGCTTCTCTCCCCAACACACACATACACACCTCTGCTTTACACATAAATAGAGCAGATTCGCATCTCCATACAAGAACCTGCTTCTACCACATAATCTGGGGTTTAGGAAGAATGCTGGGCTGAAATATTGTCCCTGACACGCTATTCTATATACCTTTCTATTAGTGCAATCCTAAACAGGGTTATACCCTTCAAAGTCCATTGACTTCTTTGGGTTTAGAAGTGTGCAATTCTGCCTAGGGTTGAACTGTATGGGCAGTAAATTTATTTCCATGGGGTAGTGTTGTCTAGTGGTTTGGGTGTCAGATTAGAGTCTGGGAGACCCAAGTTCGCTGCCCGGCTCTCCCTTTTGCATCCAGTTAACAGACCAATGACTGGGGACTATCAGCCTTCACTCAAGGGCTGTTCATCTCCATGACTGGCTGAGCTGTTGTCTCAGACTCCACCCCCATCCTTTCAGTTCTCTGTCTGGTTCCCCACGCCTGCCTACTTGCTGTTGCACCCACCCCATGACTCAGAGAGATTTGCATTTTTTTAAAAATGGAGTTCTACTACTCACCTAGGGCTTCTCTCACCTCTCATTCATGTTGTTTTAGTAATATTTATCAATTTAGCTGGGCTCCTAGAATTTGTTCAAAAACTGCAGGGCTTCTTCCCCACATGTCCTAATATCCTACCCTTTCAAAGTACAGCAGATCGTTGCACCCTTTAAATCATGGCAATAATGCAACTTTGAAGCCTATGCACCAGCTTCATTCCTCTTGTGCCTGCCTAGAGTCAGTTTTAGGGCAGTTCCAAGCAATGTTCCCTCTAAGCTGTGAAGTCTTGTGAGCAAAAATTCTACTTTGTGAGCTACTGGCATTAAAGTTGTGAGCGAGTGATTTGGCTACTGCCTAAATTAGTTTGCTCTGGAGACATCCTTCCTGAGCTAAGACAAAAATGTGTGAGCTGGAGGCTAAAGAACTGTGAGCTAGCTCACACCAACTCAGCTTAGAGGGAACACTGGTTCCAAGGTTGTCTACAACCGTTCAGAATGGGTTGCCAATGTGGAATTGAGAATGAGTGTTTCTTTCCTCCAGGAAAGCTTATAAAACAATATTATTTCAGACGGCTTTTTGTTATTGCAGACCATGACTGTGGGCTGCTTTTTGAACAGCCGTTACTGTTCTGAGTATGCTTGGAGCATACCGGAATATAATACCCCAAGTTGTTTAGGGAAAGGTTAGCTATCAATATTTCCAATAAATGCACTAATTATTTTAATATCCT